GAGACTTCTTCAATCTGCAGACCTTGCCCACTGTCTGTTCTGTGTTGAATCCTGGCGGAATTTCCATGTATACCTCTTCCACCAGATCTCCATGAAGAAATGCATTCTTCACATCTAATTGGTGTAGCTTCCATCCACCATTTACTGCCAGAGAGATCAAGGTTCGAACAGTGCTCATCTTCGCCACTGGTGCAAAAGTCTCATCATAGTCGATGCCGTATGTCTGACTATATCCTTTTGCCACCAGACGAGCTTTGTAGCGCTCAACCTGTCCATCTGGATTCTGCTTCACAGTAAAGACCCACTTGCATCCAACTGCTCTCTTCCCTTTTGGTAGTTTTACTAACTCCCAAGTGCGGTTCTTCTCAAGGGCCCCTGGCTCTTCGTGCATAGCAGCTTTCCATTTCTGGTCTTTCTTTGCAACCTGCCAATTGTTAGGTATAGTAACAGAGTCCAATGATGCAATGAATGCTCCATGTGCAGGGTGAATGTTAGAATATGATACAAACTGAGCAAGATCCCAACCATATCTATCGGAAGGATTTCCCGCATTACTGCGAGTAGTCCTCCGTACAGTTATTGGTGTGGGAGGAATAGGAATAGAAATGGAGTCACCTTGAGAGGAATCTTGTGGTGGTGTAGGTGTCTCAGGAGTCGGGGCAGACGTTGGCAAGGGACTTGGCACCAGTGGCATTGTAGGTACTGTTGGTACTGTTCCCGCAATTTGTTTCTCCTTCCTACTATAGGTAAGTAGTTCTCCCTGAGCCGTTGGCCTAACACCCCTTGTTTCAATCTCCTCTTCATGTTCTTGCTCCTCCTCAACCAAGTCTCCTTCCCAAGGAATTGTTACAGAAATTGATTTTTTCGATCTCTCACCATTCTCAGACATTGATTTCTCCACATTCACCAATCTCTCACCATTCTCCTCCTCTCGCCGCATACGTCCAGTATTAGGCGAGTTATCAACGGATGAAGTTACCTTCCGGGTGTAATATGGCTCGAGTTCTTGAAAGTGCACATCCATACTCACAAACAACCTTTTCTCCACCGGGCTCCAGCAAACATAGCCCTTATGAGTAGCAGAATATCCCACAAAAATACATTTCACCGCTCTAGGGGCAAGCTTCCCGACTGATGGCCTGTTGTCTTTCACAAAGCACACACAGCCAAACACCTTGAGTGGAAGAAGCCCACCATTATCTCCCTTCAACAACTCACACGGAGACTTCCAATCCAGCACTCTCGAGGGCATTCTGTTGATTAGTGCTGCCGCGGTCAACACTGCTTGTCCCCATAATGTTTCTGGGACATTCATAGAGATCATCATACTTCTAGCAACCTCTAAAAGATGTCTATTCTTTCTTTCCGCTACTCCATTTTGAGCAGGTGTGTATGGACACGTAGTCTGGTGTTGTATTCCCTGAGCTGACAAGTATTCCCCAAACGTTTTGTTAGTATACTCTGTCCCATTATCAGATCTTAATACCTTCACCACAGCGCCGTATTGAGTCTGAGCATACCTATGAAAATTTTGAAAGCAACCAAACACTTCACTCTTATTTTTCATCAGGTACAACCAAGTAACGCGGGAGAAACAATCAATAAAAGTAACAAAATACTTGTATCCATTCATAGAACTTGTAGAACAAGGTCCCCAAACATCTGAATGTATCAGTTCGAATACACGAGAACTCCTATGACCAGAACTTACGTAAGAACTTCTAGTAAGTTTTCCAAGCTCACATGCATCACATACAAGGTGCTGCTTATTTGCTTTCTCAAATAGAGATGGATACAACCTACTTAAAACATTAAAAGATGAGTGTCCCAAACGCTGGTGATGAAGCATCAACACACTCTCAGCACTCATCTCAGATCCTACTTCTGCTCTCTCTATCATTGACACCAATGCTGAATCCAGTCCTTCACGATCCAGATACCACAGTCCACTACGCCATGTGCCAGTCCCAAGTCTCCGCCCTGTCCCCTTCTCCTGGAAGATCACCTTGGGAATATCAAAAGAAACAATACATTTTAGTTGAAGGATGATAGCACTAATGGATAAAAGGTTGACTGGAAAGGAAGGAGCATGCAAAACATTGGACAAAGTTACTGAACCAGTACAATCAACTATACCCTTACCAACCACAGGCTGAAATGTACCATCAGCTGTTTGAATACTATCAGGCGATGCTAGGTGAGTATATGATGAGAACTCACTAGCATTACCTGTCACATGTCGAGACGCACCGGAGTCGACTATCCATTCTGATGATTTGTCGGAAGATATGGAAGCAAGAGCATGTATGTCATCAGTACCTTTGGTCGGATGAGCATAGGTAGCAGTGTTGCCTCTGGCGAAGAATGATGTGGATGCCTCCTCAGTCCCACTCCTCCTGTCTCCATCCCCTGCTACTTGATGCTTCCTCCTGAGTATCGCCAGGAGCGCCTGATCCTCCTCAGTAAAGATCACCTCAGCTTCTTCTCCTCCTTTCGCTATCATTAGATTCGCCCGGTTGCCTGCTCCCCTTCCACCTCGTCGACCCCCACGGCCATGACCACGCCCTCCGAACTGTCCACGTCCACCCGAATCTCCTTCCTTAGGTGGTTTGGGGCAAGCATGCCTCAGATGACCCACTTCACCATAGTTGTAGCACTGCCGAGTCTCTCCCCTGGATCCATTATTGTTAGATACTGCTAAAGCTGACTTCACCACAGGAAGTCCACCTGTCCCCGCCTGCAGCTTAATGCGAGTCTCCTCCTGGATCATAGCCGAGACAGCCTCCTCAAGCGAGGGAATTTTCGGCTGAGCTAGCAGTAATGCAATTCGCTGAGCGAACTCTGATGTCAATCCCTTAAGAAAAACCATAGTCCTCTCCTGTAGAAAGGCCTCCCGCTCTTTACATCCTGGGTCCTTGCAGCTCGTCCGGGGGGAAAAATGATCATAATCCAGCCACAGACGCTCCAGCTCTGTAGCATATTCTTGTACAGTCCTCTCTCCCTGGACTGTGGCGTCGATCTCTCCTTTAATCTGGAACACCCGCAGGTTATTCCCCACTCCATCATATGTCCTCCTCAACTTCTCCCAGACGTCCTTCACCTTCTCAATGCCATCTACTGTGGCGGCGATCGTCGGGACCAACGAGTTGAGAAGCCAGATGTACACCAACATATGAGTGGACTTCCACTCATCCCGTCCTCCCGAGTCCTCATCCGGTTCTGTCTTTTCTCCAGTCAAGTAACCCTCCAGGTTCCTCCCTGCAAGGGTGTATCTCACCCGTCGGGACCAACTCAGGTAAGAACTCGGTCCATCAAGCTTCAGATCGATGGTCGGAAGCTCCAACTTCTTCGATGGTCTCTGTCGCTGGCTTTCATCAGCCACAACTTCATTCAACTTCATCAAAGTTGATACCTGCCGGCCAGGGGGGTTTCAACTTCTTTATGATCTCTCCATCGATCAGGCAGCTCAGATCCAACACCTGTTCTTCAACCCTTGTTGTGGCGCAGTGAAAATTCGCACCGGCAGCTTCCTGCTGGGCACGCAACAGCAGTAAGATCTTTTCCAAACAAATTCTCTGTTTCTCAGAGGAAATAGAAATCCAAACAGTTTATATAATCTCACGATGTGAGATATATAATCTTCTCCTGTCATTAGTTCGAGGACTGCAGTCGAGGAACCAATGCCAAACTCCGAGGTTCCAGCATGGTGAAGCGGGGTGTGTAAGGGGGTTCGAGTCTTGGGCCCAGCGGCTAAGGGGGGTTCGGGGGGAGTCTGGGACTGAGGGCGGGAGGGGTCGGGACTGGAGGGGGGGGGCCCTGCAGCAAAAACCATAAAAAAAAAAGCGGGGGGTCTGGCAGCAAACACAAAAGAAACAGGGGAGGGGTGCGGAACTGAAAGCGGGGCGGATCGGGAACTGGCAGGGGCGGCCTGCGGCCTGACAGGGGGGTTCGGACTGGAGGGGAGGGCCTGGCCTGACAGGGGCGGGCGGGACATGGAGGGGAGGGGGCCGAGGCCTCGCTGACACAAGGCGGGGCTGGGAGGTGGATCGGTGCTAGGGGCCAGGGGGGCCTGGCACTGCCGACGAAGGGGGGGTGAGGGCTGAAGAGGGGGTCGGCTAGGAGAGGAGAGGGGGGGCAGCTCTGATACCAAATTGATAATACAAAACCCTAACCCTATTATGAGATCTCTTGGGGCTTATATAGGCCCTACACAACTTACACATAACCCCCTACATATATTACTAATGTCAACAGTAAGTACATCATATGTCACCCTTATGAGGCTGGATGGGCGTCGAAATTGAAATCATGGACTCCCACCTGGTGCGTGACGCAAAAGTAGTAGATTCATTCAACTTGCTATGATAGATTGAAGAGTTCTTGAAATGATCTGATGACATTGCTTCCTTAAATGCCAGTCTCTCCAAGCTTAACCACTGAATTTATTCTGTTAAACCGATATAAAGAGTACATGGAAAATAATTAGTGAGGAGTTGGGACTTGTATAAAGAGTACATGGAAAAGAATTAGTGAGGAGTTGGGACTTTTGTAATTTGTTATTCTGAGTGTATGTCGCAAATATTAGTAAAAAATTAAAGAGAAAATAATCTAGGACAAATTGCTAACGGACCATAAGACACAGAAAAATATATTGCTAGAGGTTTATCGCGGGAGATGCACACTAATTTGTGAGCGTTCATGCAGTTATACCCCGTTGCGGTAGCCCATCAAGAAAGGCCAACCTTCTCGACCAAACCCAATAAATATGTCGGATTTGTATCCGGATCTTATCAAGATCCGACCCATTATCGGCTAAAACTGGGTCGTTAAGGCCGTTAACACCAGCGAGCTGTGAGGTCTCCCCTTGTTCCCGCCATTTCTTAAGGATCTCTAACCGTCGGATCCTGATCACTATATAGGTTCTCAACCGAGAGCAAATTCAATAATCTTATAACTCGGAAGAAAAAGACAGAAGCTCCTCCTTCTGAAGGTGAAAAAGAATTTTTTTTTTGAACTCATCTGATTCAGTTGAACTTGTCCATTCTCTTATGGATCTAATTTTTCGTAGTTTTTGGCATTATTTGTGTCGATTATCTTTATGTTTATTCAATGTAATTGGATAGCTTGCATCACTATATGATATTGTAACTTTATGGGTTTCCAAGGTTTTATTTAGTAATTTACTGAATTATAGTCGAGTTATTAGTATTTATGTAAGACAAAATCATTTCTCAAAGAAATCCTTCAACAATTTTTGATTTACATGCCTGAAGTTATCCATACTCTGATTTGCTTCTGATATTTTGGACTAAGACCTTGAAAGAGAGAACCTTCAAAAGTTTTCTCAGAGTATGAGTTTCTATATTTCCCCCCCTCTATTAAGTAACTTTTTATTACGCGATTCGCAGAAAAAAATGAGTGAAGAAACTGAAGCTAATTCATCTGAGCGACGATCAGCCCCACGTCTGAACCAGAGGATTCTTTCATCGTTATCGAGGAGATCCGTATCTGCTCATCCTTGGCATGATCTTGAGATAGGTAACTTCCTCAATTCACTTGAAACAATTTCTCATTGAGTTTTTGATCTCAAACAATGTATTGAAAATGGTTTCACATGTAACTCCTTGTGCAGGTCCAGATGCTCCTGCAATTTTTAATGTTGTAAGTATCTTCGGTATATAAGACTGAATTTAAAAAGGAAGTAGTTTTAGGTTGTATATAATGTCATAATAAGAATATCAGATTCATTACTTCTACCTTCATTTTTTTTTCCTTTCGCTTTATATTTTCTATATCCATTTGGTGTAGGGTGTGGAAATAACGAAAGGGAGTAAGGTTAAATATGAACTTGACAAGAAAACAGGATTGATCAAGGTTTGTGAAATTTATGTCTAACCGGTTTGCTTTAATTTAGAAATTATAACTAAGGAATGATTGCTTCAGGTTATTGCAAGTTTCTTGATGATTATTTATTTTCTAAGTCCTAATTTTACAATACTTTGTAGGTTGATCGAGTTTTATATTCATCTGTTGTGTATCCTCATAATTATGGTTTCATTCCTCGTACACTTTGCGAAGACAATGACCCCATGGATGTGTTGGTCCTCATGCAGGTATACATAGTTTTTATTCATGGGAAGCATTAACTTGTTCACCATAATATATAATCTTTATCCTATGTGTTGGTCCTAACTTTAATTTCTTTATTCTTGTTAACTTTCATTGTATCATTTAATGTTAGCAACAAGTTAGGATTTTTAACCGTATCTGCATTTTCTTTAAGATAGGTAGCTAGCTTTTTAAGCTATGAACTTATGCAGAGCACAAATGAAGCAGACTTCTTCACTGAATACGGCAAAGCGAGCCGATACCAGATTCATGAGGTGGTCGGCAAGGGAAGTTATGGGGTCGTCGACGCGGCCGTGGATACCCACAATAGAGAGAAAGTGACAATCAAGAAGATAAACGATGTCTTCAAGCATGTTTCGGATGCTACTCGCATCCTGCGAGAAATCAAATTGCTTGGGCTGCTCCGCCACCCTGACATTGTAGAAATTAGGCACATAATGCTTCCTCCCTCACGGAGAGAATTTAAAGATATTTATGTTGTTATCGAGTTGATGGAATCTAACCTTAATCAAGTTATCAAGGCAAATGACAATCTCATGCCTGAACACCATCAGTTTTTTATGTACCAGCTTCTGCGAACTATGAAGTATATCCATAGCTATGAAGTATATCCACATTGGTGAATGCCTTTTTTTTTTTGCTGGCTTGATTGTGCGTTGACAACTATTTTTCTCTAACAATATCAATGGTTGTTTTTTGTGTGTTATTGGTTATCAGCCAATGTTTTCCATCGGGACTTGAAGCTAAGATCAACAAACTTTTTCTTGATTGTGCGGTCACTTTTATCACGTGCACCATATATATGGTTGATTAGGTTCCTTCTCTATGGACAATATTCTAATTAGTCCTGTGAGATAATGTTTAATTGACATTCATCTTGTGTATTGTGTATAAGTTCAATGCATAATTATGAAAACATTATTAATTTTGACTCTTGTAGTTTCTTAATATGTATCACATGTAATGTATGTATCCATATGTTTGATACATGGTTTAAATTAAATAAATCTTAATGAAATGAATAAATAACAAAAGAATAAATTAAAAATTTTACCACGTGCATTGCACGTGCAATCCAACTAGTATATATATATGTGTGTGTGTGAGAGAGAGAGAGAGAGAGAGAGAGATCTGATTAAAAATTTCCCTTGCAACAAAAAGGAAATAGAAAAACGATTTTATAATTATGTCAAAACCAATCTACAATTAAATTTCATCGGTACTTATTTAAAATGGATCCAAAAAAAAGTGCTCGGAAATTGACTAAGAAACTCTTAATTCATAGAAACATGTTACAATATATAAAATACCAGTATCATATACAATATACAATACGATTCATAGTCCTCATCAAAACTTCACATTGCATAAATCTATAAATTTGGAGGAAAAAAGAGTAGCAACACTTATTGTTACAGCCATTAGTAAGCCAAACCCTCCACCCCAAAAGTACTATCAACCCTTAATGACAAACCTTGACGGGTTAACTATCCGATTACCCGCACGCCCTTTACCAAACAGTCTAAATTCACAAATATATGAAGGGGTAAAGCTACACAACGGTGAGCTTACCACCACCTCCTCACATTCACCAATCTCCCAAATCACTCTATCAAAATAATCAACACCACATGGTAACTCAATCGGACCTTCACGAGGGTAACCATAAACACTCTCAGCCTCATCAAGCAACTCCTTGAATGAGGGGTGATTAATGAACTCCGTTCGGATCATGAACCGCTGCTTATCGGGTCCAACATAAACGATAACCTGCCCGACCCGTGGCCAAGACTTGGACTTGGTTATGTGCCATCCTCGTGAGCTATTCTTTCTATGACCGAGTGATTTGCATCGCTCTAGGGTTTTGAGTATCAAACCTTTAGGCTATGTTTGGTTCGAGAGAAAGGGAGAGAAAAGAAAAGGAAAGAGAAAGTAAAAAGAAAGGAAAAGAAAAAGAAAAGAAAATGATATTCTTTTTATTATTTGGTTAGAAAGAATATTGTAAGGAAAGTTAGAAGAAAATTCATAAGAAAGTTATTTTCTCTTGTTTGGTTGCCTTTCTGAGGAAAAGAGGAAGAAAATTATCACAACATAATTTTAATTCATACTTTTTTTATTTAGATTTAGATTTTAAATAATTTACAAAAAATAATTAAATTAAATTGTAATTCTGTCATATTTTCAAAAAAAATTACAAGTTATTGTTCATGTTTACACAATCTTAATTCAAAAAAATTTAGTCAAATTTACGATGACTCTAATTAACAAGAGGATACAAGAAAGGTCAATGAAAGAACCAAAACAAATCTAAAGTAAATGTCATGATATTCCTAATATAAAGTATAATCCATTTCTAGTCACAGAGTCTATTACAATCAATTTTATATAAAAAATCTTAACCAACAAAATCTATTACAATCAATTTCATATATAGAGAATCTTAACCAGAGAGAGAGAGAAAAATATGTTGAAGTCCTTGGTTTTTGACTTTAGTGAGCCCATCAAAACATCAATCTCGCATCCTTCTTCCCCTGAAATTAATTCAAAAAATTTCAAATAAGTAGAATATAAACATCAAAAACCTATAAAATTGATTGTAATAGATCACAAAACAGAATTAACAAAGACCCAAACTTAGTCCTTGGTTCCTACTACAGAAAGACTTGCCGAAAAAGCTCATTTTCATAACAAACAGAGGAAACTGATGGTTAAAATATTATATTGACATGATCATATGTGCATAAACTCCAGAAGCAAAGGGAAGCAAACATACATAGTAAGACACACAGACATCACAATAAAATGAAAGAACTTATAGATGAAGTTAATCAGAGCATATAAGTTATAACAAAAAGTTCCTATCTATTAGTAATTTCATAAGGTACTCAACAATTACAGATACCGCCTACTAACAGTCAATCTATCTAATCATCAAGCTATGGAAAGCTTAAACATACAACCAATCACGCGAGCAAATAATCACATTTGACAACCTAAGATGCACATTAAACAAAACCATTGTAGAGTGTAAAAGTGGAGTGGGTGTTGAATTATTAGGTGGAAGAGAGGGAAGATGATGTGGAGTGTTAAAAAGTAAAAAGTAGGGTGTTGAAAAACAAAACCATTGTTGATAGTCTAAGCTCCAGAAGCAAAGGCAAGCAAACATACATAGTAAGACACACAGACATCACAATAAAATGAAAGAACTTACAGATGAAGTTAATCAGAGCATATAAGTTATAACAAAAAGTTCCTATCTATTAGTAATTTCATAAGGTACTCAACAATTACAGATACCACCTACTAACAGTCAATCTATCTAATCATCAAGCTATGGAAAGCTTAAACATACAACCAATCACGCGAGCAAATAATCACATTTGACAACCTAAGATGCACATTTAAAATCTCGCATCCATGCCTAGACAAGTAGGAAACAACTCATTTCTTGAATCATAAGTGATATATCTCAGTTCCTCCAACATATGTGTGCAGTATAAACCCAAACTACTGCATGTATTCACACACCAACATATGTCTGCAGGTGAATTAATGGCAACAAACTAAAGGTGAGCATGTCCTGCAAATTAAAAATAAAGAGTACCACAATTTCATATGCATCAGAATGTAGAATATATCACATGCAAGTATGCCCATCCAAGCTTTTATATTAGGCAAAGGAATGTTTCATTGCAAAATTACCTCCTAGTACCGATACCAAGATTGTGTGATGCCCATCCAAGCTTAATCTCCAACCACCTTTTCCTCCGATGAATTGGTAACCCAATAAAGTTTCTTCCTCGAGCCGCATCCTCGGTAAGATAGTCGTAGGCTACAAGCTGTTCGTCCTCATTGAGCCCTTCAACTTTTGAAAGCTCCTCAAATATCTCTCCTTCTGTGTAAAAACGAGGACCGGTCTTCCAAATTGCAGAAGCAATTGACTCCATTCCGCTTTTTAGCCCATCAAGCTCTTCACCCAAGTTGCTAGTGGCACTATGCTTTCTTTTATATATCACCTTTGAAGATGTTCCCGTTGCAGAACGGGTTTTGGGATCTTGTTCTTTACCTTTTGAAGGGCCGATGCATTCTATATCATTCTCTTGAACAGCTTCTCTATCATCTTGATTTGTATTGATAGAACTTGATTCATCTCTTTCATTTTCTATGCGAACACGTCTTTCTTTGATAGTTTCAGAAGCTAAACCAACAGCCCTGTCTTTCCCATAAATGATTTGCAAGTGTTCAAAACACGGTACAGGTTTGTAACGAAATTGTTTTGCTCCGGGATGTGCCTATTAATAGATAAAGAATCAACTTCCACCATTGATAAGTCTTTTCAAGGGCACAAAATTAAGTAAACATTTAAGAGCGAAGAATTAGCTTAATGATATTAAGCTTATGCCATTAATAAATAATAAGTTATATAGTTGGAAAGCTACCTCTATGAGTGATTACAGAGAGATTTTATGACTTTAAGTAATAGTTTCTGGATGCAATTTAACAGTTAGATAAATTTTGATATTACTAACTGCAGCATCATTCCATATTTGTAATGCAATACAAAGTAACATCCATTAGAAGTAATTATTCTAACCAATAAAGCCCCTGTGGGTAGGTCTAATATTTGTTACACCTTTATGTAATCTTAAATATTAGAACAATTACCAAAATTAATAAATGACTAATTATTCAACGTACCTTTATGTAATCTTCCCAAACTTTTGGCTCCGCATCCATCATCCTTGTCACTCGATTAAATGCAAATCCACTAGAAGAATTCTGCATGTCTTGAAATGCGCCCATATCTCTTTTAAGTGTCTTCAATCGGTTTTTAATATGATCCACTTCAACCTTTATTCCACATTTAGCATATAACTCTGCACATGTTGCTTGATAAGCATGATATGAGAAACTTCGATCGGGCTTTTGCCCTTTGTGCACTTGTTCTTTCAATGTTTCAGTTAAGCAAATATCCATCTTCTCTGTCCATACAATATTTTTCTTTGAACTTGATTGAGTTCCAAGTTGTGAATCCATATGAACGGTCTGCTTGTTAATATGCAACATTACTTAAAAGATTAGTATTTGACAAGCGAAACATATATATATATATAAATGCAACTAGATACAAAGTATGGAGAGAATATGTGTAAGGTGAAATATTCAGGAACATATGATTGACTAAATCTTGAATGTATACATCACCAGTATACATTACTTTGCCCTGTGGCTTTCGCATTGTACTACTAGTGCTCAATAGCAGTGTGAAATGTGCAAGTGGAACAAACCCACACAACAAGCCAGCTCAGAGATGATCTTTATTCACACCTCCTGAATCTAACTAGGGTTTCTATTTGGCCTTCAGATCACTGTAATCTTAGGAAGAAAAAAATAGAAACAATCAGCATGTAGCTTCCCCGTAAGATCATCATACTTTTTCTGAAACTACACAGGAAATTAATTTGCAAGAACAGTCTCAATTTTTATTGAAGAACAGTAGTCAGCTCAGAGCCAAAAGAATGTATTTACAGTACTAATTCAATCACAGTCCATGACCTAAGAACATAAATGGAGGAAAAATTAAATTAAAGAATGCACCATGGATATCAGATCAATAGCCTAAATGCACAGAAGCTCAATATTATGAAACTGTAAGTTGTGAAATTGCAACTCGAATGTTGACCAGACAATCAAAATATATTAGCTCACTCATACGATCCAGAGTATCTAAAAACACATTTACTTTTTATTTGAAAAATGAAAATATTTCTAATAATCTCTCCACATATCATCGGCTATTTTTTGCCTTAGAATTTCTCCTCGTCTATACTCTTCATTATCATTTACAGGAGCTTCTTCAACATCTATCATCTGGTTCAAAACTTCCTGATCAACTTGTTCAAGAAGCCCCTCATCAGGATCAACACCCATTAGAAAATTATGTAGGATAGTACATGCATAAATGATATCTTTTTGTGTTTCAATTGGATAATGAGGTTCTGTTCCACTACCCAAGATTGGAAATCGCTTCTTCAAGACTCCAAAAGCACGCTCAATTGCATTTCGCAGTGAAGAGTGGCGATGGTTATACACTTCACGAGGACTTTCAGGTTGTCTTGTTGAATATTCCTTGAGGTGATAACGCGTGCTCCTAAATATTTTTGAGCTAAGATTGATCTATCTATATACTCCACTTGGTAGATATTAGTTGTCATAATAGCACCTGCATATGCTGCATATGCAGCCACAATCCCTGCTGAATATTTTATATTTTTCCTTTGTATAGCCCATTCATCATCTTCTTTTGTCTACAAATTCAAACACTTTCTATAGTAAGCACGTCACAATCATAACCAACAACCCTCAAGAGAGGGAGAAATTTCTCTTTTTATCAGGTACAAAGTGAGGAAAAGAACTCAAATATTACAACAGGTTTTCATGTGAATTCTAAAACAGAGAATGAAAGTCACAGTTGAAATAGCATGCAACTCTTCCTTTAGCATTAACAGCCTCAAAACAGAGAAGCGATAAATCACAAGGAAAGCATGTTAACAGAAATTTAAGTAACTTCACACAGAATAACAAGATTTTCTTAACGTGTCCACATTTTGACAAGGGTGCTCCGACATGTGGTCAAGCTGTTCTTGATGCAACTCACAATATTTAGCTTGTTGTCTAAATATGCTTGCAGCTAAACCAATTAGAAAAGTTGCACGGCTTAATAATTTATACTAAGAATAGAATGCCCCACTGTTCAAATGAACAAACCCCAACCCTAGTACTCCGACATGTGGTCAGGTATATTTTTGCAAGCCAAATAATTGGTTGCATTATGTGTATATATGTGCCAACCTATTTCAGTATTCATTGCAAGGACAAGCTTCCAACTCAACACTAACAACCACTACCCCACAAGCATACGACTATTACGCTAGAATTCCAAATACAAATACAAGGTCCTTATGTACTTCCTATTACTCAGAACTCAGAAGTCTATTATGTACTTCCAAATACAAATACAAGGTCCACATATCTATCTCGTAAATGCCTAGATCAAAATTTGATTCACAAATTTGGGATAAATCACTCTGTGTAGCACTCAACTAAAGTTGTATTGTGGAACTGAATTGGATAAATCACTGGTAAGTACCATGTTTTTTTTTGAAACATACAACAAATCATAAGGAAACAAGATCAAATCCACTCAACTAATGCTTCAATTTTTTTCCAGTATATCGCCTCAATAGAATCTAGGGTTCATGATACTAAGAAATAAACAGCAATTGTATCAACAAATATCAACTTAATCACCTATAAAACCATTAAAAAATGAGATCTCCAATCCGAAACAAAAATATGAGCATAACTTACCTCGAATGAATTTGGATTCATGTTGACAGAGAGATCCAAGAGCTCAAGCTGACGAGAGCTCGATTGGAGATCGGGATTCTCAAGCTGACGAGGAGAGGTCGGCGTTGAACTAGGGTTTGATCGAGAGAAGAGAGCAGCGGAGAGAAATCGGGATCGGGATCGAGGATCGGGATCGCCGCGCGTCGAGACGAGTTTGGCGACGAGACGAGGAGAGATCGGGATCGCCGCGCGTCGGGGGATTTTTTCCGTCGCTCTCCCTCGTTTTCACGAGAGCAACGGAGAGAAATGGGGAAAGAAAAATTAGCTCTCTGTTTTTCTGCAGTGAAAATGATTTTCTTTTTCTTTTTTGTTTTCTTTTAAACCAAACACCATAAACTCACTTTCTCTTTTATTTTACTTTCCTTTCTCCCACTTTCTATCAAACCAAACAGAGCCTTACTCTCTCTTTCTTCCATACTCTTTGATCTCCCCATCTAATAAAGAAAAAGTTATGGTAGAGGATGAAGATAAAGAGATAGTGTTACTCATGACTAATGGATGCGAGCTTTTAAAGGCGAGACATTTTTCAAAAATAAATGAAGGGGAGGGAGAGACTAGTGTAGGGAGGATTAGGAGAGGAAAAAATAATGAATGTTGTTAAACTATAGCTAATTATAAGTGCTTAACTAGTTTAGGGTTAATTGCACTGAGATGATTTATAAATGAAGGGGAGGGAGAGACTAGTGTAGGGAGGATTAGGAGAAGGAAAAAAACTAAATGTTGTTAAACTACAGCTAACTATAAGTACTTAATTAGTTTAGGGTTAATTGCACTTAGATGAGGTATAGCTTCACCAACTTAATTTGCGCTTCAATGACCCCAGCTGTTAGAGCATCTCCAACAGTTTCCCCAAAAATTTCGCCAAAATGGGGAAGCAAAAGTCATATTCTCCAAATTATTTTTGCTCCAACTCCAACAACTTTCCCATTTTGAAGAATTCTGCATTTATTACAATAATAATAATATTTTACATCCCTATTTTGGGATGCTCTTGTGCATTAGAACTGCCCCCATGGCTTTTTTTGTAATTACAGATTTGTTTTATATTTATTTTCTCCTCCATCCCGTTTTGAAGAACGTGCTGTATTTATGACAAAGCTCTCCCCAAATATTTAAAGAATGTCTCATATTTGGGGAAGACTCAACTTTTTTTCTCCTCCATCCCTATTTTGGGGAATGTGATGGGGAATCTGTTAGACCAAAAAAATCCCAAAATTCTCCAAAAGTGAGAATACCAATAAAATGGGGAAGCTGTTGGAGATGCTCTTATAAATCAATGCACTTTACCCTAAAAAAAATTTTCATTTAATAAAAACATAAACCGCATTATAATTTTTTCTAAAATACCAAAATAGCACCCAAGCTACCCCACCCCACCCCCCAACAGTAAAAGAACCCAATTTTATAACTTCTCTAAAATTATTGTGCCCTAGAGAGGGACAGCGGATTGTGACCTCAATAACGTAGGGCATCACCAAAATTTGATGTGGGAGAAGGAAAGTTGTGCTACTTGGTTTGACTCTGGATTAGAGTTTCATGTTTAGGGGTTGTTTGGTTGTTTTCCGAAAAAAACCGAAAACGAAAAACTCACATTTCAACTCATTTCAAGAGATTTCAAGACATTTCCCGTTTTTTTTTGTTTCGCAATAAAATCACTGTCACGTCACCGCCATGTCACATAAGAAATAAATCTAGCCGCAAATAGTAGCAGTGTTTCGATATCCATTTCTTGTGTTTGTTTGAACATAAAAAAAGAAATGGAAATCAGCCGCAATAGTAACAGTGTTTTCAACAATTAAATAATTTGTTTTATTCACAGTCACTGTTTCAACAGTGCTTTTAGTAATTAAAAATTGATTGAAGTGATATTTCCAAGTGTTTTCAGAGGTTTTTGGTGTGAAAATACTTTTCTCAAAAATCTGACGTGGCATCCTACGTGGCACCCTAATTTCTTTAAGGGTATGTTTGTTTGGCTAAAAAAATTAGGAAATCAAAGAAATGGAAATTATTTCTAAGAAGAATTGTTTTCGGAGTGTTTAGTTTGCTAAAAAAAGAAGGAAATCAAAGAAATTGAGATGAGATGAGATGAGCTGTCACCTTATTATAGGATGATGTGAGTGATTTTAAAAAAAAACTTGTTTTGATGTTGTTTGGTTGGCCAAAAAAATAAGAAAATGAATTATAAGAAACATATTTCTTGTAATAGGTTGTTTTCTTTTGTTTAGTTCATTCTTAAAAATAAGAAAATAGACGAGATGAGATGAGTTGTTATTATATTATTGGATGATGTGACTCACACTTAAGAAAATTATTTTCTTAGCTTTTTGGGAGGAAATGTGTGGAAATGAAATGTTAATGAGATGAGATTAGTTGTCACCATCTTATTGGATGATGTGAGTGATTTGAAATGATAAGATGAGATGAGTTGAGTAATGTTATGAATAAAAATAATATTTTATTAGATGTGGTGGATAAGTTGTTGGATGAAAATAATATTTTATTAGATATGGTGGATGTGATGGATAAGTTGTTGGATGAAAATAATATTTTATTAGATGTGGTGGATGAGTTGTTGGATGGTGGATGTGATGGATAAGTTGTTGGATGAAAATAATATTTTATTAGATGTGGTGGATGAGTTGTTGGATAAAAATAATATTTTTTGGATGAAAATAATATTTTATTAGATGTGGTGGATGAGTTGTTGGATAAAAATAATATTTTATTAGATTTTGTGGGTGGGTTTTAGGGATGGAAATGGATGAAATTGTACTTTTTGAGTTTTCTTGGTTTTCATTTCTATTTCTTAGTTTTTTAGGAAATAACCAAACAGACCCTAAATCACAAAACGAAACAAACATGTAATTTGGAAATCGATTAAAATCAAAATCCTACGTGACAGGAGGGGTTTCTAGAAATCTGACGTGGCAGGGGGGAGGGGTGGTTCTTTTTCATAGCAAACAAACAACCCCTTAAGGTAAATGGATGAGAGTTTGATGCAAAGCTTGACCATCTTGAACTTGCATTCACGTTTGCATGTGTTGAGATTGAGGTGAGACAAGGTAAAAATGGGAGCCATATAGCATAGGGGTAGTTTAATGTAAATTAGGAAAAGAATGGCCCCAGACTGTCATATGACATGTCATGTGGGAATATTCCATGAATATTCTACAATGTTATAAACTTTAGGACATTACACTAGTGGAAAACCAGGAATCGTTGACGGGCATTCCCGTCAAGAATGCCTAAATCCCCGTCGGCGATAAATATCCTTGACGGCTTCCTGTTGGGAACATGGTTGATGTTACAATATCTCTTGTATTTTGATGATAACAAATCATTATTTATCTGACATATTTTACTGTAGATTCAAGATATACATCTCAAAGCAACAATCAAGTTATTAAGGCTATTTCAAAGACAAGATTTCAAAAATCAAAAGATGAAGTTCAAAAGATGTAATTCTGTCAATTCTGTCTTTTCTTTTAGAAACTTTGTACAAGCCTTGATCACACACACAACTCACTAATCACTTAGAAAATCATAGAAAATATTCTAAGTATAATCCTAAGTCTAATCAACGAATGAATAACATTTTAAACTATTGAAAATATGTATAACATAGTTTCTGGCCGACCAAAGAAATGTCTGGTCGACCAGATATAATAACCAGATACAGAGATTCAGAAATTTCTCTGTCTGGTCGACCAGATATGGACCTGGTCGACCAGAGGCTTCAGTCTCGACAACACAGTTTTCAGGAAGCCTGTCTGGTCGACCATACAGTCAATCTGGTCGACCATACAAGTTCCAGGAAGACTTTCTGGTCGACCAGGCCTCAATCTGGTCGACCATACAGTCATTTCTAACAGTTATTTTTTCAAAATGATTTGAACGTTTTATGAACGTTTTGACAGTTATTTTTTATATAATTTGAACTAAACTTATGCCTATAAATAAGTGTTAAGTTCTGAAGTTAAATAACAAGATTCCTTTCCATAAACTTGAGTTTTTCTTTTCTGAAGTTAAATAACAAGATTCCTTTCCATAAACTTGAGTTTTTCTTGAGTTCTTAACTCCATTTTTGAAGAGAAAAACTGAGTGTTAATTTTCAGTTTTGTTCTTGATTAAAAACTCTATTACTCTAGAACAAAAACCATTCCTATAGCCTATTGTAAGTCACTCGCATCTACACATCAAGGCTTATAGGAAGAGAAAGAGTTGTACCATTTTGTTTCAGTTTGATAATCTCTTGAAAGAAGAGATTGTTGTGGCATTGGCAATTGACGATTGTCAAGGTTGTACTGTTTGCTTGCGGGTTGCAAGTACTTGCGGTTTTGCAAGTGGAAATAGTGGAGAAATCTCAAGCGAGGCTTGGGGACTGGATGTAGGTCTGGAGGACCGAACCAGTATAAACCCTTGTGTTTGTGTATGTAATTTTCTATGATTGTCTACACATTGGTTTGATCTTTCTTACTCTTTGTGATATTATTTTATTGAAATTTAAAGTTTCCGCATTAGATTTCATAAATACTATTCAACCCCCCCTCCCCCCTTCTAGTGTTTGAGTGCCATTGCAGCGATCCTTCAATTGGTATCAGAGCAGGTTAATCAAGGATAACAATGGCTACATCATCTACATCACAGTTCAAGGAAGGACATTCTACTCAAAGACCACCACTTTTCGATGGTTCCAACTACAACTACTGGAAGTGTAGGATGAAGATCTACCTTTAATCGATAGGATTCGATCTCTGAAACATAGTGGAGTCTAATTACAACAAGCCTACTACTCCATACTCTGAATGGACATTGGTGGAAAGGACAAATGCGAATCTTGACGCCAAGGCAATGAATGCATTGTTTTGCGCAATGGATAAGAATGAATTCAACCGCGTGTCTACTTCCAACACTGCACATCAAATCTGGCACACACTTGAGGTAACCCACGAAGGAACTTCTAAGGTTAAAGACTCAAAAATTTCTGTTTTAGTGCACAGGTTTGAAATGTTCAAGATGAAAGACAACGAGACAATTGGTGAAATGTTCACAAGGTTCACCGACATCATCAACTCCCTAATTGCGTTAGGAAAGGACTATACACAAGTGGAGATGGTTAGGAAAATCCTCCGGGCTCTTACTTCGGATTGGGAAAAGAAGACTACCGCAATAGAGGAAGCCAACGACCTCTCCACATTGACAGTAGAAAATTTGATAGGGAATTTGATGGCATACGAGGTGCAACTTGAAGATCGGAAAAAGGATAATGAAGATAAGAACAAGAAGGTTCTTGCTT